AGCTTCTTTGTTCGACTGCAGCAGGTTGCCTAGGTTGAGAAATTGTTGTCGCTTTTCCGCACCTTTCCGGCCTGAAGCTGTACATCGTCATTTTAGGGTTCGGGGGTGGTGTTTTCTTGCTGCTCCTACGGCTCCAAGCCCGGTCTTCGTAGCAGTGGTACTCTCGCTGAGCCCTTAGGTTGCCGACTCTGGGTCCGCTGAATCCCTTTTCATAGCCCAAGTCCTAATACAAAGGCCTTAGAATACCCTTAAGCGCTTAAGGGGAATGAATGTGAAAGCAATATTTTTCCTTAGGTTTCAACAATGAGGCACCCGAAAGTGCTGTTCAAAATCTCAACACGCCTATGTTCAGCTCTTGTACTAAGCCTTATTGGCATCCTCATAGCCCCCGACCCTAACCCTGCCTCTTCGGAGACCAGACCCAGATTAAATGCATGGATGGCCGCGCCGACATAGGTACCTTGCTACGGCTCTGTGGGGGGTTAAACCTATAAGGGGCTCCTCGAGGGGCCACCTAGACCTAGATGGCCCTGAGGAGCTCCACCAGGGCTCTCACATGGGCTCTATAGTACATTAGGACCAGGAGCTGCGTATCAAAAAATCGCCGAAAGCACGGTGCGGATCTGCATTTGAGGCTTTCGGGCTTCTAGGAATTGACCAAGACCACGAACCTTCCAGATTCTATGGCCTTCTCTCAGGATTTTACGTACGTTGTTTTCAGCAAATTCCACGGGTTTTTGCGGCTTCCAAGGCTCGAGCACTGTGAGGGTTACAACATGAGATGAGTCCTACACACTGGAGCCCTTGCACTTTAGCTCCGGGTTGGATGTTTAGGGTATGCAACGGTCATGGCGGGTTTAGACTAGATTTTAAGGCTTCGTTTTGAGCTAGGGTCCTGTTTTTTGGTTTAGGGCCACGGTTAAGTGCTTCAGGGTATTTCGGGACCTGGCGGTTTCAGCTCTCGGTGACGTGCCTGTCGTGCGGATGGCACTCTGGGCTACTTGTATGATTACATCTTACGTATCGCTGCCCAAGTGGCGGAAAAAGTAGATTCCTCGCTTCTCATATTCCTGCGGCATCGTGCTTGAGGATCGTGCTTGCTGGGCTCCTAGAGAACCCCACTGTGCAAGCCCGGAAGAGGAATCCTGGTTTTTGCAACAAACACGCCAATGGCACGAAGAGCAACTTCAAGTAAGAACAGCAGCAAAAACCATGAACAGCAAGAGGAGCAAGCGGCGAGGTTCCTAGACTCCGATTTCTTACAGAATGGCGTGCTAGAATCTCTGGTCTTTCGTGGCTTCGAAGATCATCGGGTTTCCTGCGGCCAGCTTTAGGCCGTAGGGTTTTGGAGGGTTCAGGTACAGGTTATGGCGCGAGGTCTTAGGGCTCAGGGTTACCCTAAACCCTAAACCCTAAACCCTAGGTCTTTAACCCTAGGTCTTAGGGCTCAGGGTTTAGCTCGGGTGCCGGGGCCTAGGGCCTAAGGGCTCAGCTTGAGGATTTTTCTTGGCTGCCCACGCAGCTTCGAAAGGGTATAGCAGTCAGCCCAAGCCAAGCCTCTAAACCCTAAACCCTAAACAAGCCTCTAAACCCTAAACCCTAAACCTCCTAAACCCTTTTGCAACAGAAACCCTAAACTTCCTAAACCCACGAAAGCCGGAAACGTGACCCTTAGCCTCAAAAGCCTGCAGGCCCCCAAGCCTCAGATGCAGGCGGCCTTGCATGTCTCACGTACCGTAGCAAAACAATGCATGCTCGGCATCTATGAGGCTTCTGGGACAACCCGAAATAACAGCCCGAACTCTAAAGTTTCTCTGCTTATATAACCCTAAGGCTCTTAGCCCAAAAACCTTGTATAGTATGGCCTTTGGACCCAAAATCCTGAAAATATAATTGATTAGAGCCTTAGGTAAGAGCACAAGCTGCATGATGAGGATAACCGTGAGTGTTTTTCTTGGAGGACCGAGCCCAGGCTCGCAAGAAACTGGAGCTCAGTCCTGTGCTCTGCTTTCGTCTGTTCTCTTCGGACAACCCTGCCATAACCCCTATATAACTTACTCCTCTAAGGGTGTTTGAAACCCTAAACCCTAAACCCTACCTTAACTTTAACCCCATAGAACTCACCCCTCTAAGGGTGCATACAAGGAAATCATACCAAGGAGCCTTGAGAAGGTAGGTCTTAAAGTTTCCCCATAGGCCCCTAGGTAGTTCCTGTTTGGGATTGCCTTCTAGGGTTCTATATATATATATAAACCATAAAAAGGAACTACTTAGGGGCCTATGGGTAAGGTAGACCCCAACCTTCATGGACCCTCTCACGAAGCCGGCAAGCCCGGAGTCGGCGATGAGTGATGTGGACGCTGAAAGGGGCTGAAATCAAGGAAATGCCTGCAAGAAGTGTCGACCGATGAAGCCGGGTAAATTTTGAAGTCTTACATCTTAAGCCGAAGCCCTCCGCCCTGAACACCTTTTCGGCCTGTTCCAGGTTCGATGTCTCGTCCAGCTGCTCGAAAAGCTCAGACAGCTGGTCTTGCTCATTGGCGACCTCTGTCTTCTGTCGATCAGTCGTTCCGGGCTGCAAATCCGCAACCCCCAAAACTACCCGACAGAGCCATGCAAACTCTAAAAGCTTTTGAGAGTGCGTGTAGCGCTCTGGGGTTACTCAACCGTCGTCGTTTGCTAACTGAGGGGCGGGCGACTTTACATCTTTTCACACAGCTGTTCAAGCAGACTGTTAAAGAAGGTTCCATATCTGACAAATGAAACCCTCGATACTCAATCGGCCAGAGTCACTCAACCCGAAAACGCTCGAAACTACTAGGAAGCTCCGGGTCGTGAGGCTCTAGTCGAAATTGCCTGGTTTTCTGGATGCCTTTCACCCGTCAGCATTGGTGTACGAGGCTCCGAGCCTTAAACCCTCATCCCTGATCCCTAAACCCCACTCGGATTTGGGACCTGCTATCAAGGCGTCTGACTTCGAATCCAGAGCCCTCTCTAAACCATAACCCCCAAACACCTGACATGAAGCCGAGCCATCCGCCCTTATAACCCTCAATACCAAAAGCGCCTGGTGGATGAAAGCCGCGGTTACGACCTCAGTGCATGGTACACATGAGATAGGCTTCGCGACTTGCGAAATTCTCGGTCCTGTGCACCGACTTCATAGCAGAAGAACAGCCAGTCGGAACACTGAGGTTTCGGACTCCTTTTTCGTTTCTGTTATGGCTGGACACATTTCGCACGGGCGAGACGTGCCGTGCCGTGCCGCGCCATGGTACTCTGGAGCTAGTTTGTTCCAGCAATAAAGACTCGGCTTTCGTTGTAATTTGGATGTAGAAACTCTTGAGTATGAGCAGTAACAGCAGTCGGCAACAATTGTTGGCAAGAGCCGCTGCACAAGGAGCAGCAGTTGCAGCGGGGATAGCAGCAGCCGTCGTTGTCACCGTTGTCTTCGCCACAAAGTTCCCGCATCACTGCCGGCATGGAGGCAAAGCACCAAAAGTCTTCCAGGCATAAATTAAGCACCTTTAAACCTCTCCCTCCGAAAGCGCGGGACATGCGGCGAGTCCCGAAAACCATACCCAACCTGGCTCAGATTACAACAAATTCCAACTAACTAGCAAGCATGCCCCGCCTCAGTCCACATCAAGGCTATATGCCCCCTCAGGCCCCACCCTAACCCCCAGGTACCTACTATATTATAGGGTACTAGAGCCCCTAGGGCCCTATATAGTAGGTACCTGGAGGGTTAGGGACGCATGAAGCTGAGAGGCTCCACCAACACCGGCGTCCTCGGATTGGACCAGCGGAACACAACCACCAAACGTAGCCACGGTTTGGGGGGGGCGGCGGTAATATGTCGGTTCTTAAAATTCGGGATGGGCTTGTCGGGTATACGAAGACTTATTACACCCGACAGCCTTCATCCCAATATTACGACCAATATACCTACCCATAGGCTCCATAGTGGTTCCTTTTCGTGGTTTATATTTATTTAGGATCCTACCAGGTAATCCCAAAGAGGAATAGCATTCGGAAATATGGGAAGCTCGTGTCTCAGGTCTTCCCCTGGGGCTCCAAAGAGCCCAAAGTAGGTACTATTTACAGACTTTAGACCCCAAAGTAGGTACTATTTGTATACTTGGAGCCCTGGTCTTCGAGTTCAGCTGGGGCCTTCGACGCTGCCCCATTGCTTGCTACTGCCGCCCCCGGATCGGAAACCCTGAAACCCTGAAATCCTGAAACCCTACATCCTGAAACCCTAAACCTGAAACTCTGTGAAACCCTAAACCTGAAACTCTGAAGCCCTGAACCCTGAAACTCTGAAATCTTGAAACCCCTGAACCCTGAAACCCTAAACCCTGAAGAGGTGAGAATCCAGCCGTTAACAGGCTCTCACACAATGAAGTGGCCAAACCCTAAACCCTGATTTAACCCCCCCCCACCCACCCCCCCACCCCGAGTTTCACAGAAAAATTCATCGGTCTTTGGGCCCGTGAGCTGCTGTATAACATCCCAAGCACTGTCCTCCTACACCTGAAGCCTACCTTTAATCTCTAGTGTAGCTATATTATTATTATAAGAACTGTATAAAGGAATTAATTGCTATAGCTATAATATTATTATCATAAGGACTGTATAGAGGAATTACTCATTTCTCAACTCCCTCTACACCGAGGTCTGGCGTGGCCGCTGAAGTCCCCGAACCTGCAGCACGGAAATTTCATGGCACCCAACAGCAGAGTGCAGCCGAAAGTTTAGGGTTTAGGGTTTTTGGGGTCTAGGGCTTTAGGGTAATTTAGGGGTTTAGGGTTTGGAGGGTAGAGGGTTTAGGGCTTAGGATTTTGCAGAAAGATGTGAGTGAAGACTTACCATTGGCGGTCTGATCCAGAGGTCTTCAAATTAGAGCAGGGTGTCGGGGCATACTATCGTATAGAGTAGGGAACCTACACGGTATAGTAAGCCCCTACCACACCCTCAGATTGTGCGGCACGAGCATCTTCCGGGCACTCGGTGTTGTTCATGCCAGTGAGACGCTCTGCACACATTAGGTCTCCCTGTCCGTTATCGCCAAAGAAGAGTGTGGCGCACTCCTGAATTGGGCTGAGAGGCTTCGGTTTACATGAGCAAGAACTCTGGGCAACGAAGCTGAACATTCCGTGTACATGACCGAACCTCGATTAACCCCTATACACTGTAAACCCCCTTTCCGGAGCAGAGTTAGAAGCTCCAAACCTACAGCTCGCAGCCGGTAGCTGAAGGTAGGAGCTGGTAGTTGGATGCCTGTTGCGTGCTTAGGGAATCAATTTTCGTCTGCTGTTGCTTCGTGCCCATGAATGACTTCGCACAGCAACGCCCCAAAGTAATGAGGTAGGGCATTGAATAAGTAGGTCAGGGATTTCGGATACATCATTTTATCATATGCATATTACATCGAATGTTCAGACTCCTCTACTACATGCACACATGGAGCGTCCTAACTTCCAGGAGCAGCAACTGGCCAGCGGAAAAGCTGGCGGAAGACGAGCGACAAATAGTGAGCAGCGAAGACAGTCTTACCGGCAAGAACCGCAAATCCAAACCTGCATTCCTTTCCTAAATGCTCGACCGGTGGCCCTCAGCCCAACGTGAACCCGATCTTGCAAATATGCTCTGTAAAATCATACAAAGAAAGTAATAGCAATCAAAGTCCTGCAGCCAGAATAACAGTACATCACTAGGTTGTGGAAGACCTGTTGACCAACCGACTCGTGCCGACACCCAAGCCGGGGCGCACTGTACAGTTGGCGATATTGCACAAACGACTTGATCTTGTCTTCCCCCACAGGCCGCCAAACATCCTCAGCAAACGTGCAGGATACTTCACGCGGTATGTAGTTGCAGGACCAGCGACCTTCGTAGACTGTTCAGTATATCCTATAGGGTCATAGTCGGGTTGCACCTTCCTAATGAACCCAAGCCGGCCGGATTGCATAGGGAATCCGACCACATGGATCCTAGAATCCTAGAAGCTGCTTCCGTACGATGAAGCTTGGTTGCACAACCAGGAACAGAAAAACAGACAGGTCTGAAACAATATATATATATATGTGTGTGTGTGTATGTATGTATGTATGTATGTATGTATGTCTGTGTATGTATGTATGCATGTATGTATGTATGTATGTATGTATGTATGTCTCTGTGTGTGTATGTATGTATGTATGTATGTATGTATGTATGTACGTAGGTATGTATGTATGTATGTATGTATTTATGT